TAAGTTAAAAAATACCGACTGGGTTATTGGCATAGTTATATACATTGGGAAGGAAACCAAAATACAGATGAATTCCACCAAACCGATTATTAAAACGAGTCAATTAGAAATATTAACCAATAAGCTGACCATCATCATTTGGCTCATTCAGATGATTATTTGTTTCATATCAGCCTACTACAATGCAGTGATTGTAAGCTTGTCCAAGAAAAGTAAATTTAAGTACTTGCCTTTTAACTTAGAAGAATCCAAGAAGCCTTTTATTGTCGGAGTTATTTCCTTTTTCTCCTGGGTTGTCATCACAGCGAATTTTATTCCCATCAGTTTGATTGTCACCATGAGTTTCGTAAAAGTTGTTCAGGCGTATTTCATTTCCTGTGACAAGAATATGATACATAAAGTGCTGGCGGATATTCCCACCTTCGGAAATCAGATGGAAACTGCAAGCTTGCGAGATGAAAATTCAATCGAGTTGGACATTAAGGAACCCGGTGGGAAACCCCACGCCCGGAGCAATCAGACCGATAAGTCAAAAATGAATTTTGTGCCACAAGAAAGCATTGAAAGGAGCGAAGCAACAAATGGGGAGTTTCACACTGGCGCTAACAGCACCAGCAAGAGCAACACCAACAGAAATAATGGCTCCAATGGAAATGCCACCTGGAATGAACGGAAAAGAACGCTCACCAGAGTTATCAGCTTTAAGGACGTAAGGGAAAAAAACTACATATATTTCAATGCCGTACCCAGAACATCCAGCCTGATAGAAGAGCTTGGACAAATCGAATACATTTTCTCGGACAAAACCGGAACGTTAACATGCAACGTAATGGAGTTCAGAAAATGTGCCATTAATGGGATTTCCTATGGAAATGGTCTAACTGAAATTAAAAAGCACATTTTAAAAAAAAAAAATATGGCCATTCCAGACGAACCCGCCCAGAAGTCAACGGAGAAAACGCCAAATGTAAATATAGTAGATGCCGATTTGGTAAATCATCTGCACGATGTGACGCATTTTAACCATGCCGCTCTGATAGGCTTCTTCCTACATTTGGCCATTAACCATTCCGTGATATGTGATTATGGAAAGGAACCCACGACGACCTACTCGTCTAGTAGCCCAGATGAAGAAGCCCTAGTATATGCTGCAAAGCATTTTGGAATCACCTTCTTGTACAGGAAGGATGGCAAGTACGGAATTAGCATCTTCGGCACGGTTTACGAAATTGAAACGTTGGCAATTGTTGAATTTACAAGCAAGAGAAAAATGAGTAGCGTCATTTGTAGAATACCCGTCAGAGGTACACATAGAGGTGGAGGTGTCACTGCTAAGGGGGGAAGCGGAAGCGATCTAAAGGAGGAGCGACATCTAGGAAGGGCGGAAGAGGAACGGGCGGCACTTGCCAGGAACGAAATGAACATCTCCTCCCGATTGAAGAAAGATCCTCTGGATGAAAACTTCGCCCCTGGAGGTGAGAAACCCAAAAAGGGAAATAATGACAATCAAAACAAAGACATAATCACTTGTAAAAACTGCAAGGAGTCCAAAATTATGCTCTTTTGCAAAGGAGCTGGAAGTGTTATTTTAAACAAATTAGCAAAAAAGACGGAGGTAGATGACATGACGATTGAACATATGGAAACGTACGCGGACGAAGGGTTAAGAACATTGTGTATCGCACAAAGGGAATTAACAGAAGAGGAATTCGCAGAATGGTACAGACTGTACAAAGAAGCCACTGTAAGTATAAAAGACAGAGAAGAAAATTTAGAAAACGTGGCAGAATTTATTGAAAATAAATTAACCTTGCAAGGAGTAACCGGCATAGAGGATAAATTACAAGAAGGGGTCAGTTCCACAATAGAAGATCTAAGACTGGCAGGTATTCACATATGGATGTTAACTGGCGATAAAATAGAGACAGCAGTGAACATCGGCATTGCTGCAAATTTGATCGATAATTATTCGGAGCAGTTTATCTACACTGCAGATTTAATATCATGTGAAGAAGCACTGATGAATAAAATTGATGAGGACATTATCAATATTGAAAAAACGTTAAATTTACCTCACTACGATTTTAATGCCGAAGTTAATGATAAAAAGCAGGGTTTTTTGAGGAGCTGTTTTACTGTCAAGAAAGAATGTAGCTTATCGTTAAGTCCAGATAATTACAAAATGTTAATTAGCTCGTTTAACCACGTGTTAGTCGTAGATGGGGCGTTGTTAGACATTTTATTGAGCAAGAAATTTGAAAGGAAATTTTTTTACCTGGCGGATAAGTGTTCTTCTGTGATATGTGGCCGAGTGAGTCCCTACCAAAAAGGAGCAATCGTTTCGTCAGCCAATCGATTGTTGAAAAAGATTACTTTAGCTATAGGCGATGGGGCTAATGATCGCAACATGATTAACACAGCTAACATTGGAGTTGGGATTAGAGGGCAAGAAGGCGTCCAGGCATTTAACTCCTCAGATTATGGTATCAGTCAGTTTAGATTCTTAAAAAATTTGTTACTAGTGCATGGTAGATTGTCCTACAACAGAATAAGCAAGTTGGTGGTATACATGTTTTACAAGAATATTGTTTTAATTTTCCCCTTGTTCATCTTCGGATCGCTTTCTTTATATTCTGGGCAGAAAATATACTACGAATTTTTACTGCACCTTTATAACATTTTGTTTACGTCTGTTCCGGTCGTAGCACATGCCATATTAGACAAAGACGTGAGCTTAAACACAGCCTTGGTAACTCCGACCTTGTACAAATTAGGAATATACCATTACTATTTTAACATTAGCACATTTGTGTCTTGGGTTATTAACAGCCTTTTTCATGGCTTAGTTGTTTTTTTACTACCCCTATACTTTTTATCCTATTATAATATTCCTAGTTCCGATGGGACACCTTTCGATATGTGGAGAGTTGGAAGCGTCACTTATTTTATCACCGTTTTAGTTGTCAATTTGAAAGTGCTTCTGGAGACATACTGCTTAAATGTGCTCCCGCTTACCGCTGTGTTTATGAGCATTTTCTCCTTCGTCATTCTTGTGGTGTCCTTCTCCTTCATGTGCTTTGGCAGTAACAATTTCTTAGGCACAGCTGTCATTTTAGCAAAATCGTTACGCTTTTGGCTAGTTGTCTTGTTAGGCCTATTCACCGCCCTGTCTAGGGACTACATCTTTAAGGTTTTCAAGAGAAACTTCAACCCGGAGGTGTACCACTTCTTGCTCGACCAGGTAAAGTGCCGAGGGGGGCAGTCAACAGGAGTGATAACAGGAGAATGAACAGGAGAGTCAGAAGGAGAATCAACAGGAGAGATGAAAAGACGACTTACCCCCCTCACCTCAACGCGAACCCCACACCTTTGTTCATACTTTTTTCCCCGTCTGCACCCTAGGAAGAGAAACCGAAGGGGGAAAACACCGTCATAAACCTGCTAAGTTCTGACACCCATCAGAAGGAGGAAGAAATTGTACGCACTTAATGAGAAGCCGTAAAGAGGAGGATAAAAGAGGCCTCGTCATTTAGAGGCACCTTCCCTCCCCTTGGAAAAACAATTGCGTTTAACGTGGTTACTCCGTTGCAATGTTTTGACGAGTGCACAATTCACGTTGCTGCGTCTGGCGAGGGCTGTTACGCTGCATTTTAAAGAGCCTGTGCCTTAGTACATAGCTCTCCTGTTTGTTTCCTGTTTTTCTCCATTTTTCCTTTTTTCCCCCCCGCAGAAAATCGAAAAATGCAAATCTCTTGGATACGCATTCAGCGAAGTAGACCCCGCGTGCGTGAACTTGATTAGAAAGCAAGACAAAATGATTTAAGCGGCCGCTTCCGCGTTTGTATTTTGTTGCGGGCTTGATTGTGATTGAATTCAATTGAAGAACTTTGTACTTGCTTATCTTTGTACATACGGATATATATATATATGTATATACCTGTGTGTGAAGAGGTGCTTAAGTATGCAAGGAGGGATATACTCCCACTTTTTCGTATGCAGCCTAGGCGCTTGTACGAGAGCACGCCCAAGCGCAATAATGCATGTACCGTTTTTATTTTTGTGTGCGCACGCAAGGGTGTTCCTGCTGGGGGACGCCCATGCTGGGACACACAAACCTATAACTGAAACAGTCACACCAGTCCGCCCAATTTTTGTCTACACCTGCCCATATGTGATATTTTATGTGTGCCTTTTACTTACCGCTTATTCCATGTCAAAATTTGAATTTGTTATTAATGTCAACTTTTTTGAATAAAATTTTAATCACCATTTTTTTTTTTTTTTTGGTAGAGGGTTCAGCAAAATTTTAATAACCACTGTTTTTGCAAAGATGATTACCCTTTAGTAACTTCTGGGAAATGGCCCAAAGTGGACCCCACAAAAGCTGACCTTTTTGAGGATAACTAGAACGGGGGATGGGGAAAAAAATCTGCCTCACATGGTTTGGTTTACTAAGGTACGCTATTTGAAGTTAGGTCATAACAAAAAAGTTGTCCCTTCGAATAGTTTAACAATATGTAAAAAAGGAAGCGACGTGAAAAAAAAAAAAAAAAAAGAAAAAGATGAGCGCGCACCGAAGTGGCGTGTTAACGTGGCGTTATACATTTATTCTGACTAGGATATGTAATCATCAGAATGTACACATGGTGACGTGTAAGAATATGCAAGTTATCCCTTTTTTTCCTTTTTTACGTGGGCACCTTCGTCCGTGCACCTTAAGTGTTTTCTGTGCTTCTCTTTATTTGTCTGGTCTACGTAACGTTTCGGATGCACATGGTAGTGACGGGAAAGAGGCGCGTAAGGGCACAAATGTGCCTGCCCCTGAATTAGCACAATGGTTGATTTAAAATGAAAAAATAATTTAAGTCATTGCTGGTGTCAAAGGGGTTCACAAAAGGGGGGTGGGGGCTTCGCTGTGGAATGCCCTTCACGCAAAGGTGCCACTTACTCGTAACATCACACCGCTGCGCCGCGCCGAACTGGCCGGGGGCGGCCCTCCCTCAAAAGTGCGAATTATTGTTAAACATGTCATACTTGTCAAACTTGTCGTACTGAGAACTGCCAGACATGTAGCTATTCTGAGGAGGCATGATGGACAAGTGATTGTTGAGCGAGTAGTTAAACTGGCCAGACATGGAGTTGGCCGCAAAATCGTTAGGAGCAGATTTATTCATCTTCTTCTCCTTCTGCATGTCTTCGATTTGTTTCTTCATGGCGTCGATCTGATTGGTGTAATCACTGACAACTTGAATGAAGTATAACATAGCTTGGTCCTTAAATCCGCTGGTCCAGACAATTTCTAATACATAATCGGGCTTGAGTATATCATAACAAACGATGAGGCCCGCACACAACGCTTCTTTATTTTTAATTTCGATGAAAAAATTTATTAAATCTTCCACGTATGAATTATTCTTAGACACTCTTGCAATTTCGATTGCGTCCTTATATTGTTCCTCTTTCTTAGAAAGATTAATAGCTTCTTTATATTTTTTATTTTTCTTATAAAGCAGAGATGCGATTCTTCTCATTTCTGAAAGTTTGTGATTCTCTAATTTGTTGATTAAATTGGTTTGGTTAAAATTGTCATAATCATCAATTGAGTTCCTCAAACTGATGTAATCATCATTTTGTAAATAAATTTCGTTTAGCGTTTCATTTACAGCCGTTATATTTTGCCCTTGGATATCTTCCAGATATTTTTGTATGAGAGGTAAATTGTTGGACTTCTTCAATGTCTGTACTAATCGATTGTTATCAATTTTGTTTTCCAAAATTTTTAACAAATTGTACAAATTTAATGGGTGCTCTTCTATATAGAAATCGATTACTTTGTGTATGATGTCACTATTGGTGACTTTGTGAATCACTTGCATGAAGGTGTCTGGTGTGTACGCAGTGGGGGAGTGTTTTATAATGGTATCCACCGCTAAGTTGTACTCATCGTAGGATATGTACAAATAAACAGCTTCTTTTAATAAGTATTCATTTTGGCAAACATCAATTAATTTCCTTGTGTTCATTTTGTTTGAGTAGTTTCTTATGAACTCCATTAACTTCTCCGGTTTGTACTTGGCGTAGAGGATTCCTAACTCGGTGTAGATTCCCACGTGTGCTCTTTCATTGTTTAGTCCGTTCTCCAGTAGACTCATTAACTCGTTTATGTATTTTTTTTTTTCATAAATGTTGATAATTTCGTCCAGGTGATCCGCATGCATGATTAATTGGAGCCCTGCTGTGTGTGCATGTTTCAACTGCTTGTACTTAACACAAATGAAATTTACTTCTTTCCACGTTTTCAGACTCTTCGCCTTTTTGGCTGCTTCTATGGCTAGAGAGTACTCCTTCAGCTTCAAATAACAGAAGGTTAGCTTCTGATTGTTGGGTATGTTGCTGTACAATATTTTGGCAACTTCATACTCTTGTTCTTTGAACAGTCTATCCCCTATTAGCTGCAAGTTGGCTGAATTAGTGCAGCCAATAAATTTAGTCATTTCTGTTGTTTTTTTCAATTTCGCATAGGCATACAGTAGTTCCGAATCTACCAACACGTCCTTCAGCAAATTCTGATCCCTCAGAGTGTTCAGATACGTTATTAAATGCTCGTAAAAATTATTCTCCTTGCATTTTGCTATAACTTCCTTGTAAGCTTCTGGGTTATTCGATTTTACGAAACTGTCTATGGCGTCAATAATTTTGTTTATTTTTAGTTGGGCCTTCCCTAGAATGAACCACACATCGTTGTGGTTGCACTTTTGTGCGTATTCGATGGCTCTGTTTAGGTCATCTTCGTAACTTTTCGGGTCTAGGACAGGTTGTTCCTGCGCGTCGTGTAAATCAGACTCACTGAGCGCGCCCCCCACCTCGTTACTGCCGCCAAGCAAATTGTCCCTCCCCTCTTGATAGCCGTATCTTCCTCCCTCTCCCAACTGCTTCACATACTCGTCACTCTCGTTGTAGGCAGACGAACTCGCTCGCGAAAATTCATTTGGATAGGCGCTTTTATTATTCACTTGCAGGATTTTATCTAACAGCACGGAGATGGCTGATGTGTAGCAATTGAACTTTTTATAAATAACAAAGGCTTCCTCCCTCAGCTTATAGTCATACGCAACGGACGCAATTTGCGGACCAGAGAAGCTGTCAAGTCGGTTGATATATTCCATCACTTTCTTCGAATCCGATTTGATGGCAGTCAAGATTAGCAAGTTCTGCAAATTCTTATTATCACTAAATTCACTGTTATGCAGAACGATTTTTTCCAGCAACTCAATTAATTCACTGCTTAGCTTTTTCTCAATAAAGGCTTTAACCGTTACGGTAATTTCTTCTGCGTTATTGGATTCGATCAACGTCGAGCCGATGACCTGATCGATTACGTTTTTTCTGTACTTGTTGGATTCGTCTAAAACCTTTATCCACAATTCCATGGACTGTCTGGATACTAAATATTTGGCTTGCAGTTTGAATAAGCCATTTTTGCTGGTTATATGGATTAACTCCTCGTCGCACTCTCCGTTCGATTTTTCGTACACGGTATAGGCTAAATGGGGGTCTAGATCTTCGCAATATTTCCCTATTAATTTTTTATCATAGAAATTGTTATTCTTTAGGAAATTCTCTGGATCCTTATTCAAGTCGATGTATATCTTGGCCAAAGCGTTATGCAGTTCAATATTTTCATATCCCTCATTGGATCTGCTTTCCAGCCATGGTAACAGCAATTTTAGTCTATTCCTCTTTTCTGCTATTTCGATTAGGTTTCCTATATTGGAAATATTTTTTATATTGTTCAAAAGATTGAGGAGGAAGTCTTCCGAGGCGTCCAGGTCCAGGAGTACACCGATAACCTTGTGAGCATTATTTGGATTAACCTTAATCACGTACACTTCGATATATTTCAACAAGCTATTTTTATATAAATATTCCGCGAGCTCTTCAATGTAGTTATGTATGTCACACACGTATATGAGTGGACGGGGGTCGGACAATTTGCAGTCCTTCAAGAAGTTTTTAACTTGTTCTGGGTTGTACTTTGCATTTTTGTCCTTACAAATTCTGTCTAACTCTTGGATGTTGTTTATCTTGACACACGCCTCAATATATTTAAACATGATAAAATGAACATCTTCGATTTTCAGGCTGGAGGAATTTTCCGCGTTGCTGTACTGAGATCCGATGTCAGATGTCAGCAGAATGGACGACGTCTCATCGTTCATGCTTCCATACGATAGGTGGTCTGTCGTTTTGTTGGTTAAGTTCGGCAAGTGGCTGAGGATCGAACTAATGAAGTAGAAAATTCCTTCGTAATTCTTATTCTCCTCAAATTTGTTGATAATTTTCTTGATACCTATTTTGTTATAGTACTGGACGCAGATGGAAATGACGACCTCCATATTTATTTTGTTCCCCTTCATGAAATCAAACAGTATATCTTGACACACAGAGTCGCTTAACGTAGAAAAGTACTTCTTAATCCAGTCGATGGAAATCCCTGTGTTGGGGAGAGAGCCGTCCATGCTGTGATTCGTATTTGTGTTCTTTTGAAAGCACGACGATTTGGTGATCACTCTTTTTATGTCATTCAAATTGGTGTAGTTTTCTAGGGCCCTCTGAAATAATCCCTTCTCTTCACACAAATAGGCTATTCTGTTCTTATCATAGTAGGTAAAAATATCCATTTGGAATAGAGTCTCTGCTACTTGCACATTATTGTATAAGTTAAATTCAAACAACTTGGTTTGTAAATTTTTATGCTCCGGTTTATTGTCCTTCAGAAAGTCCAGCAGTATCGAGGTGGCTTCTTGTAACTTGTTCTTACTCAGCAGATAATCAATAATATTGTTGATATCAAATGGGATGTTATTTTCGCATAGAAATTTCACGTACTGCACTGCCACTTCGTTGTTGATACCTTTTCCCTGCCTGCTATCGTTTGTACTATTACTGCTATCGTTGAAGAAATCCATCGCTTCGTTCTTCGAGGAGCTACTCATATCAGTCATGGACGAACTCCTGTCTTTCTCGTTACTGTACTGAGATTCGTAATTCACAATGACAATGAATATGCTTACAAAGTCAAAGGAGACCTGCTTAAAGTTATTCAAATAGCTGAGGACATTATTAAACATGTTAAGAAGACAATAGGTGGAAACTATCTTATTGTGCGCCCCACACCGCAGGTAAATATTCAACGCTAGTCGCAAATCTAGCACTTTGACTAAGTCCCCCAATTCTTCCGAGCAGGTTAACTTGTCATCCTTTATCCATTTTTCTAGATATTCCTTCTTTTTTTGCAAAATGACAGGTTTCACCAACTCGACCGATTCGTACGTGTTCAACTTGTCATATTCGAGAAGCACTGAAAAGTACAGAAGAAGAGGGGATAGCTGTCCCGATGCATTTTTCATCGATTTGAAGCTATTCAGCACTTGCTGTGTTCGCAAGGGAGGGATAATTCTAATGTCTACATTTTTCCTGGTCATAATCAAAACAGCTTCGGCAACTGAGCTGGAGTATTCCTCATACGTTTTGGTGTTCTTCAGTAGGCATATAATTTTCGAGGCCTTCTTAAAATCCATTTCGTTAATGCATTTTTTGTAAGCACTAATGTAGTCGCATCCTGGGTACCCATATTTTACGCACAAATTTTTTATAATTTTATCCTTACTATCAAAGTTGGACAATTTTATGTGGTTTATTAAATTGACGTAGTTAATGGTGATGTAGTAAATTTTTCCTTTTTTGTTCACCGCGTATATTCCTTCCCCGTTTTTGCTATCACAGCAGGTGAAAATGTTATCTTCACTAATTTTTTCCTTCACAAGTTGGGTTAGTGTGCCTTCATCAAATATGTACACATAGCTGCACTTTGTGACAATGTATATCACCCCTTGCAAAGTGTTCATGCTGATATAAATTGGGAAATCATTAATGTTCTCATTTATTAGATTAATTTCCTTCACAATTTTGTATGGCATGGTGCCCGTCTCCGTCTTGCTACTGTATATATCCATCAAGTGGATTCTCGATACAGTTGAATTTTTCTTCTTTTCGACAAAACAGAAGAGGGGCTTTATGTCCCAGTTATCAAATATAAATGATCCAAAACATCCTATAAATCCTTCAATCGTTTGGTGCAACTTCTTATCACACGAGTAAAGTTGCATGTACCCATCGATGCTTTTTCCTTGATCCTGCGTAGATATTCCACACAAAATGCACCATTTCATGTCCTTATCTGTGGCATAGTATAAAATTTGAGAATTGTTGTCAATGAACACTTGTGCCTTCTCGAAAACCTTCGTCAAGGTGTAATTTTCCTTCTGCTTCTTACTATTGTGGATGTCTATATTCCAATGGTATACATTCCTCTCGCAGACAATGGCAATGGTGTCATTATTTATCCACTTCCAGTAATTCATGTACTCATTTAAATTTAAGGAACATATTTTTTCCTTCGTTTCTATGTTAAAAACTTGTAAAAATATCGTGTTGACATTTTTTAAGGTACCTCTCAATGCTAATATGGGGTCATTGGGGTGAATAATGACACTCTCTGCTTTCATATACTTCCGCGTGCTTATCTTATTTTGCAGGTTTATAACCACCACTTGGGTGTTCTCGTTCACATTTTCTTTAACGCATATAAATTTGTCTCCTTCGATGGATACAGTGCCTAGACGAAACGACTCATTCTGGATGTCATACGTGGACAGACTATCTGCCACTGCGACAGATAAAGGGTTGCTGGGATTCATTCTTTCGACAAATTCGGGCGTCCTTTCGTTGTTGTATACCTCACGTGTTTAGGCATGTATTCACGGGCGCGGGTGTCCTTCAGGGTGAGAGAACGGTGCGTCGAGGGGGCTGACGGGAAAACTGACAGGGGCGGACCTATTCCCCGGGGTGCGAACAGTCGAAGAACTGGGCAAGGAGCAAAACCGAGTAAGCAACAGTGAACGAGGTAAGCAATCTGAACGTGGAAAATGCTGAAAAACGCGCATCGGAAAACGCTAAGAACGTTATCACAATCAAGATATGCAAAA